CAGCGCTCCTCCGACCGCTGCGGGCGCTGCTGCGGACCACCTGAACTGAGGGACGGCGGCTTGGCGTCGCTGCAGAACCAGGAGCCGGAGCGTCCGGGACACGGGCTGGGGTTCCCGCCGCCGCACCTGTTTTTAATAAATTTCCTGCCAGCCGGCCCTGGCTGCGATCTCTGCTGCGGGCCCCCGGGTGGCCTCCTTCCCGGCCTACCTTCCCGCCCACGGCCCACCCTTACCGCACTTGCCACCCCAGCCGTGCCAGAGCGGGCGCCCTCTTTCTGGCCCGCACTCCACCCGGGCGCCAAGGACAGAGGTGTCGCATGCAGAGCAGTGGCAGAGGCCGGAGTGTGACAGAAGGCCGAGCAGCGCACTTGTAAAGGGACAGACCCGACCCCCTCCGGATGGCGCCTTCCAGGCAGGGCCATCAGCTTGCGTGCGCCAGCCCGAGGTGGGCGGAGGGGCGACGGGGTCAGGAGGTCGGGGGTGCTGCACGCAGCACCCCGGAAGGGCCACGGTGGCACGGCTGGCTGCGGGACGCCCACAGAACCGGAAGAGGCGCAGGTCAAAGTCGGGTCACCGTCGCAGGCCGAGGTACCCCCCCACTGCAGTGGAGCCCTAGGGCTATGTCAAGTGCGCAGGCCCCTGCGGCCCACAATCCAGGCACACGCTTCAGTAACCCTTTATTACAAGTCACGCTCTTATAGAAGTGTATGAGGACTTAAGTGAAAAATCAAATGTATCCAAGAATAAAAAACACAGCACATAAAGTAGTATATGCATTCCAGTGTTCACGCCAGAGATGGCAGCGCCCAAGAAAGAGCTCCTCTAAAACAGCCTGGCTAGGCCGGCCGGGTCGACGTCCGGGTGGGTTCGGTTCGGGCGGCACAGGCCGGCCCTCAGGCACAGTGTGGGGCCGCCAGCCTCCTCGCGGCCCGGCGGGCTGGGGCAGCACCAGCTTCTGGGGCCTCCGGGCCAGCGGCGGACCCCAGGCTGGCCGGACCAGAACCACCATAGGGACCCGCCAGGGCCCTCCTGGGGCAGTGGCGAGAGCATCTCAGGCAGTCTGGGAGCATCTCAGAAGCCTCCTTTAGTTGGCCTTTTTCAGGAAGATCTAGGAGAACCGGGCTGGGGTCAGCGGGCCAGGGGGCACCACTGTGGTCTCCCCAGTCTCCTCTGCACGTGCCCAGCTCACCTCACTCAGAATGACCCACACTGGGGAGTCGGTCTGGATAGAGAGGCGCAGGGCCTCCAGGGGACCAAAGGCCGGGTCCACCTCGCCTTCCGCCACACCCTTGTAGAAAGAACCTGGGGAGAGCAGCAGCAAGGAGCTCACGGCCAAAGCCAGACACGGACAGCCCAGCTCCACCCAGCCCTGTGCCCGCTCACCTATTTGCAGGTAGCCATCGGGGCTCCGTGGGTACTGCAGGGCAGCCGAGCGGCCCTCCTGCAAGGCCTCCCGGTCTGACTGGGGATTCTGGGGGCAAAACAGAGAGGCTGCAGTGTGTGTTCCTGAGGGCCTGCGGCCCGCGCACACCTGCACCCTGCCACACTCACATCAAAGGGCAGCACCTCCACCGATGTGTTGAAGAGCTTGTCCTCCGGGTGCTCGATGTTCCCGCTGCGGAAGAAGAACCTGTATACGGCCATGGAGGCTGGTGAGCTGCTGCCAGGCCAGAACACCGCCCCAGCGGGCCGGGGGTGTGAGGGGACAGCTGAGTGGGCGGGGCCTCTCCCGGAGAGCAGTGACACGGAGCACTAGGGGCTGCCAGACTCTGGCGCTCATAGGAGAGTATCACCGTGAGCCCCACTTTCCAGATGAAGAAAACTGGGGTCAGAGGAGAACCTGCAGGCACAGAAATCTAGCCGCGCTGGCCCTCCCTGGAGCCCCACTGCTGAGGCACTGACCGTTCAAGGCGCAGTGGCTGGAAGAAGCGGAAGCGGATGAAGTCCCCTGCAGCAGGTGTAAATGCCCAGAAGAAGTCCTCACGCAGGTAGGCCTTCTCCAGGGTGAAATGCTGGTATGTCTTGAGGCTTGTGCTCACTTCGGCGGGTGGGTTCACATGCTCCTTACGCAGGGCTTGCTTCCCAAAGTCCTTGTCCTGCACGGTAGGCCGGGCAAGATGAGCCCCACCCCTACCTGACTGAACCTGGCCAGAAGCAGGAGGTGCAGCTCACCTTCAGTTTCTGGATCTTGCCAGCCAGGGAGGAGTGGGTGCCCACGTGCTGGAAGAGGGACGGCTTGAAGCGGATCCGAAGGTTGGCCTTCTGCCGGTCACAATGCTTCTGTGGAGGGGGGCTACGCACTAGGACTCAGCTGGGGCCAGCTGGTACGCACCAGGGGCTTCCACAGCCAGCGGTGCCCTCCGCCCTCGGTCAGATACATAAGAAGGCAGAGTCGCGCTGGCCCACCTCCCCTGCCCCTCTGCATCCCACTCACCGCGTCCTTCTCGGGATTGCAGACCTTCACCCACAGGATGTGGTCCAGCAGCCAGTCGATGGGCTTGTCCCGGTAGAACATGAGGATGAACTCCACAATGAGGCTCAGGTCCAGCGACTTGAACATCTTCCCTGGGTGCAGGAGGGGAGGGTGCCGAGTGGGACACGGCGAGTGGGGGTGGGGTGCCTGACACCGTGCAGCCCCCCACGTAGATGGTACTGGGGTGGACACAGCGGCAGAGTGCTGTGGCTGGGCCACTGGCTGGGGGGAGGGGCGCACCAATGAAGCCCAGCTGCGAGAACTCCAGGATCATCCAGTCCTCTGAGGGCTGCTGCAGGGCGAAGTTCTTCATGGTGCTCAGGTAGTTGGGCTTTGCTACGATGTCATCTTCCAGCTGCATGAGGGCCAGGATCAGGACTGGCACAGGGCAGGACAGAGTCCCTGGCCGGGTCTGACCAGAGTGTGGGGCAGGGCAGGGGCAAGCCAGAGCCTCAGGGCTGACCTGCACGTAGTAGATGCCTTTGGACTGCGCGTACATCATGAGGAAGCAGTAATCCAGGTTCTGTTTGGTCCTCCACCTGTGGGGCAGGAGCCTCAGCGCTGGGACCTCTCCACCTCCAGTGACCACACAGCAAAGCCACTGAGTGGCAGGCCCTGTTCCCTGCCCCATGTAGGTGTCCTCTAAGAGAAAACACGAGGCAAGGCAGATCGCTGGGCGTGGGGGTCGGGTAGGTACCTGACTCTCTCCTTGGGGTCCCCAAAGGACTCTCGGAGGCGGGAGAAGTCAGGGTAGAAGTGGGGGGAAGGAGAGATGACCTCCAGGAGCCCAGAACGGATCTCCGTGGGGAACCTGGGAAGAGGCAGAAAGGCCCAGTGGGTGGCAGCCTGCAGAGCAAAAGGGGGACCCCAGTAACCAGTCCCTTGCACCAGTCTGAGGCACTGAGGCTCCCCAGGGGCCCGCCGTGCTCCACCCTCCCGGAGCCAGCAGGGGTGGTGCCCACGCAGAAGGTAGGCGCTCTGCGGGGTGCAGGCCCTGCACAACGCCCGCGGCCCCTCCTCCAGCTCTCTGCGGGCAGGCGGGACTCACAAGGCCTTGATGTTCTCTGTCACTGCCGATGTGTACTGAGGGTCAGTCTGCGGGAAGACCAGGACCCCTCTTAGCCCGGCCGCCACCCCAGATGGCCTGGAAGGAGGGGCCGGTGCTGCAAGCTCCAAGAGTCCCCACGTGTGGAGGGAAGGAGCCTCGGTCCTCAGGGCTGAGGAAGGCTGGGCCCTCAAGCACACGGGATCCCGCGACCCCACGGCAGGAGCCAGGAGCCTGAGTCTGGTGACCGGACCGGGTAACGCCAACTCCATGGGGGGGCGCTCAAGGCGCCTTCAATTTTTGCTAGGGGGGACTGAACTCGGGACCTCACAGAGCAGGCGCCGTGCCACCAAGCTACATCCCCGGCTCAAGGATCCTTTCTTTATAACGTTCTGTTCTGCCTTCCTGTTTGTGAAGGAGGGTGGCGCTGCGCTTCGGCGAGCTTTCCACCAACACAGGTTTCATTTCCCTGGGCTGATCAGCGCGAGGGCCACCCCGTGCCCTCCCCGCCCCACACCCGGCCACTCGCCTCAGCGATCAGCACCACGATGACCGAGTCCTCCTTCTCCTGAGGGCTCAGCTCGGAGATGAGCGAGTGCAGCGTGTCCGTCAGGTAGGAGTGCACCTCGCGCCGCACGCTTGGGATGCCCATCACCACCGACACTGCGGGGACGCAGGGGGACGCTGGGCGTGGGGCCGCG